CCCCAAAACCCCAAAACCCCAAAACCCCATCACTCATATTTAAATGGTAAAAAAGATAAATTCTGTGCTTAATTAATTGATTCTGACAAAGCGAATATATATTTAAATAATTTCGAATACGGAAATCACATTTATGAAGCATTAAAGATCAATATACAATAAGAATGATATTGTTTGGGCGAAAGTAAGAGGACATCCGTGGTGGCCTGCAACTGTAAGTAACTTATAACCTAATTCTTATCGAATATTTTTATCCAGTTTGCCTATCATAACTAGAGAAATCTACTGATAGTCAACAATCAATTTTATATTAATAAACTCATAATAAATGATGGGTGCTAAATATATAGGTTACTGATACAATTGAGACTGCTGCTCAAGATAAAACCTATAAGGTATAATTCGTAGCAGATGAATCTCACAGTTTTCTTCAAGAGAAACACTTGAGTAAATTTGTTGAGAATTTCAAAGAGAATGCAAAAAATATTAAGAGATAGGTATACTTTTGTAGTCTTTATTAAATATATTAGAAATTAATGAGATCCATTTGCAAGGCCCTATAAAAATTTGAGAAAAAAGAGTTTGGAATGAGTGATCGTTTATTATCAAAATTAAATAAAACTGATTAAAGCAATATTCTCAAATATGCAAATGATGATGAGAGCAGTTCTGAGGATGATAAATAGGATGAGAGTATTTCAGAGTAGTAAGATATCAATATATCCCTTGATATTGTATTTCAATTATTTATTTATTTATAGAGATGTAATTGATAAAAGAAAGAAAACTTATAGAAAGAACTCTAATTAATCATTTGATTCAATAATAGATCATCCTGCTCCACCTAAAAAGATTATCAAGCAAGTAAAATGCATTAATTTTTCTGACCGAGACTCTCCTCTTCGCCAAGAGCAAAAATCCCCTAGTAAATCAAAATTTCAAGTAAGCAATATATATTAAAATAAATAATTTAATTAATAAAAAATAGTTATAAAATGATGAAGAAAAGCATAGTTACAAATAGGTTTTCAATATTTAGAAGGAAAATTCTGAATATAATAGAGAATTATAAGGATAATAAGTTATAAGATAAAAGAGGAGTTATACTAGAAGGAATAATGATTAGTTAAAAAAGAGAGAAGTGAAAGGAGAATTGAAATTTAAATAAATTAATAAGAAAATAGATATAAATCTAGACAGTATGAGTCAAGATGAACGTTAAAATTTATTGAAAAAGTTCGAAGGCAGAAGAGGCAGAAAGCCAGATTGGTATAAGTAGATGAAGGCTTAGGAAAAATTTGTAGAAGATAAAAAAATTCGAAATCAAAGCAAAGATAAAACCTATAATAGGAATCTTTCAGAGATTATTCTCCCAGCCAGAAAATAAAGCATTACTGAAGATGAAATAGAAGAGGAAGAAGATAAATAATAGGTAAATCTTGAAGGAATAATCGAATCACATATATTATTGTAAGATATCATGCCATAGAAATAGAACAGGAAAATTAGCTGCAATATATCAAACTACTAATGTGACAAATTCTGCTATGAACCGACTAAAGATCAAAATTTAAATTAAGAGGATATTGAAAAGCAAATAGATGAATTATGCAATAATACCACTGCAGAATCATAGAAAATTCCTGATTCTCACTTATACCAACATGTTTAGAATTTCATGCTATGTCCTAAGTAGCAGGAAATCTCAAATACTTGCAATTAAATAGGGGGTTCATTGACTAATGCATTAAAATTATTCCTTGAAAAGAATGACTCTTAATTCCTCTCTATAACTATAGAACGATGTGTTCCAGAGTTAATGAATTTATTTAAGAGTAATTATGTTACAGTTGATGTCCTATTAAATACTAGAGTATCTAAATAACTAAATGAGGTTTATGAGTTCTGTCATTCATATCAAGAAATAGAAAAGAAGTAAATTAATGTACTAGAAGATTAACTGTAGCTCTCACGTTAACTTAACAATTTGAAAAGACTCCTTGATAGCATTTTAAAGAAGTGGAAAAATTATCTGATGAAAGTATATTTTAATGAGAATAACTAAAAAGTAAACTTTGAGAAGCAGATTAACAAATATTTTAATAATTTAAAGAAAAATTAGATCTAGATAAAAGTTGGCAACAAAAGTTTGGGGTTTGATTAAGAATTTTTAAATAAAAGAGATGATTTGAGAGAAGAATAAATGTACGAAATTCAAAGTGATTGAACTTTTAAGTCAATTTAATAATAATAATAAAAGGAGAAATTGAAATAATTTTCTCCAAAAATATTAGCTGCTAATCGAACAGAAGAACCAAAGAAAGCTTCCTTAGTAAGAGCAAGTAGCATAATGAGGTATAATGAAATTATACGACTAAACTCTGATAGCGGAATTTCCGGCACAGAAACTAGAAGTGAATTAAATTTGCCTCTTAATAGTTAATTATCTGGGTAAATATCCATTCAAAAGCCTTTTATTGTGAAAACTGTTTATTAGAAATCAGCAATGCAAGGTGAATAAAATTTAGTAAAGAAGAATATATAATAAGCCGATATTGGAATAATAGATAGATAAAAGATCTGATATTCAAGTATTAGGAAATATAACAGTATACACCTTAATATACCTGAATGTACAAACTGCAAAAAAAATTATCATTTCAAAAATAAAGTTACATTTTTAGCATTATGGGGTTTTGGGGTTTTGGGGTTTTGGGGTTTTGGGG